CCAAGATTGGCACTAACCACCCCGATGTCCAGGAAGAATAGCAAATATGGCAGGTGACCAGCTTGGCTTAGCAAAGGACTCTTCAGTGAGCTTAAACACAAAAAGAAAGCTTACAAGAAATGGAAGCTTGGACAGATGATGAGGGAAAAGTATAAGAATATTGCTCGAGCATGCAGGGATAACATCAGGAAGGACAAAGCACAACTGGAGTTGCAGCTAGCAAGGGATGTGAAGTGTAACAAAAATGGTTTCTAGCAGTATGTTAGCAAGAGGAAGATCAGGGAAAGTGTGGGTTCCTTATTGTATGGGGGAGGTAACCTAGTGACAGAGCATGCAGAAAATGCTGAAGTTCTCAATGCCTTTACTTCCATCTTCACCGGCAATGTCAGCTCTCAGACTACTGTACCTGGCAGCACAGTTTGGGGATGAGGTGAGCAGCCAATAGTGACAAAAGAACAGCCTAGGGATTCTTTAGAAAAGCTGGATGTGAACAATTCCATGGGGTCCAACAGGAGGCACCCAAGGGTGCTAAGGGAGTTGTCCAGTGTGATTGCAGAGCTGCTGGTCATTATTTTTGAAAACTCATGGTAATCGGATAAGGACAAACATAGTGCCCCTGTTGAAGAAAAGGAAGAAGGTGGATCCAGGTAACTACAGAACAGTCAGTCTCACCTCAGTCCCTGGAAAAATCATGGGGCAACTCCTTAAGAAATCCATTTCTAAGCACTTGGAGGAGAAGAAGGTGATTAGGAGCAGCCAGCATGGATTCACCAAGGGCAAGTCATTCCTGACCAACCTGATTGCTTCTGTGATGAGATGACTGGCTCTGTGGATGCGGGGAGACCAATGGATGTGATATACTTTGACTTTAGCAAGGCTTTTGTTAGTCACACACAACATTCTTGCAGGCAAGAGAAGGAAGTATGGGCTGGATGAATGGACTGTAAGGTGGATAGAAAGCAGGTTGGATCATGAACGACACGTGCCCCCACATTGTTCATGCTGGTACTGACACCGCCGCCAGCGGGAGCACGGTGGCAGTAAGCGCAGAGCTCCCGCAGATGCTACCAGCACTGTCAGCAGAGGGGGCGAGTACCAACCAGGGGTTGGCGACCACCCACAGGTGCTGCCAGCAGCGGTGGCGGTGACCAGCAGTGATCGTGGACTGCCCGCAGACGCTGCCAGCAGTGGGGTGGCAAGTGGCGGTGGCGCCTGTTTGTAAGGGGTGCACGTGCACCCCCTACACATCGCCCCTGGGTTGGATTGTCAATTTCAATGGGTAGTGATCAATGGTTTAGGGTCTAGTTGGCAGCCAGTATCAAATGGAGTGCCCCAGGGGTCAGTCCTGGGGCTGGTTTTGTTCAATATCTTCATTAACCATCTAGATGAGATGGACTGCACCCTAAGCAAGTTTGAAGATGACATCAACTTGGGGTTTGTAGTAGATAGACTGGAAGGTAGGGCTAGGATTCAAAATGACCTCGACAACTCCAAGGATTTGGCCAAAAGAAATCCCATAATGTTCAACAAGGACAAGTGCAAAATTCTACGCTTAGAATGGAACAATTCCATGCAGTGGTACAGACTGGGGACCGACTAGCTAAGCAGCAGCCCTGCAGAAAAGGATCTGAGTGTTACAGTGGACAATAAACTGGGTATAAGTCAACAATGTGCCCTTGTGAAGAAGGCCAACAGCATACTGGGCTGCATTAGTAGGAGTCCCAGCAGATCGAGGGAAGTAATTATTCCTCTCTATTCTGCGCTGGAGAGGCCACATCTGGCATACTGTGCCAGTTTTGGGCCTCCCACTACAGAAAGGATGTGAAAAAGTTGCAGCATGGAGAGTCCAGTGGAGTGGAACAAAAATGGTGAGGGGGCTGTGGCACATGACTTAGGAGGAGAGGCTGAAGGAACTCAGCTAATTTAGTCTCGAGGAGACCGAGGGGATTTAATTGCAGCCTTCAACTATCAAAAGAGGATGGAACTAGATTATTCTCAGTGGTGACAGATGACAGAACAGGGCGGGAACCTCCAAAGCAGAACCTAACCTCTGCTTTGCTAAACACCTGAACAGGTGTTAAGCCAAGGCTCTGCCAAGCTCCATGAAAGGGAATGCACGTGGGGATGCTTGCTTCGGGATCCCAACACAAAGGCAGCTGGATCCTTTTCTGAACCTGTGTCCAAACATTTCCGTGCAAATTGCAGAGCCGACCCCATCCAAATTGATTTCAATAAGAGGTTCTGGCAATCTTTTGGGCAACTATGGCGATTTCCCAGACGACCGTAAATAACTTCCATAAGGTGGAATAACCCCATTTTAGGCGGATGGAATGCAACCCTTTGGGAAAGCTCTAAGAACCAAAGTGGAATTATAGTCTTGAGGGCAACCCCACTATTTCCATAAAACTTGTAAAAGCCACCTGGGGCCTAGAAAAGGTTCTAACTCTTAATGTTAATTGCAGAGTGTAGAGTAGAGTGTATTCACTCAGTAATCCTATTACTATCATCTCTATCACAAAAAGCATGCGTTTTATGAAACATATATCATTTCAACCTTTAAAATGTCCAGTGCATACACAGAGGAAAAAAAAGAAACAATTAAGATTCAATGTTTGATGCTTTATTATGAACTGCTTCATGACAACTTTGTTGA